AGTAAAAAGTTCAAAAAGTTGCAGTACTTGGAAAGGGAGAACATGTTTCCCAGTTACATCCTCTCCATCTCCATTTTGAACACCCACAGAATCCGTGTCATGGTTTGTATATTCAACAGAGTTCCGTGAACTGAATTTAGCAGGAGTGTTTTCAGAGATCTACCTTTCATCTATAAATAATAGCAGTTCTATTCCCGATTGTCCTATTTTTCCCTTACGTTGGCCTAGTGAAAAAATGTGTTCAGTTAAAGTATGGTTCTTTTTGTTTGTAAGTTGTATAGCATCAATAACAGCTTTTGAACAGACTTTTATCCTTGTCCTTCATCTCCTTCCATCACTGACCTTTATCCCGGAAAGAACTATGCACATCACATTCTGCAGTCTCTCTTTCTGAGACCAGTTGAGAACAGTTATAGGATGGTGTGTTGATGGATTCTTTTGTAGGCTTCATTTCAAGATATTGACATCCTCTTTGTTTTAACCTAGCCAGTGAGAAACAGCAGGAGGAGACTAGCAGAGGAAGCTGTTCTGACTATTGATTTTCTTGTGCCTTTCAGTGGTTCGTTAATTCCTCTAACAATTGCTTTTTAGGTAGCTGTCTGGGTGTGACCATTGCTAGCCAGCAGAATAGGGGCTGTCATGGGTGGGTGAAGCCATAGCTGATAATGTCAACTTTACCTTCTGAATTCTTCTATCTATGAGTTATTCATTTAGTGTGGAAGCAATATTGATCTCCCTACAAATAGTGAAATACCTTCATTTTCAGTATGACATTCTTATTCTTCCACAGTATGTGTAGATGCCAGAAGAGTATAATCCAGCTGTTTCACAAGAGAGACAAGAGGGGTTAGACAAATAGAACATTGCAAAAATTAGCCCTGTGCATTAATTGTTCACATGGAAACAGTATCTTCAATTTTGTTTCACTAGTATTGACTGGTATTGCTATTATGTCCCTACCAGCTACGTTAGAATTCAAAACTGTCTAGTTCTGTATACCATGACTGATAGAAAGCACCAGGCTGGAGTGAGGCTCTTACTAATTTCAAAACCTCTACGAATGTCCCATTTTACTGTGAGCTAGAAAAGGGTGCGTGTTGGAAGGCAATAGGCAAATCACTGTTGTGTTGAAGTTGAGTAAGGCAGTACTGAAAATAGAACAGTAATTGTAAAGCTATTTCTGGCACTGAAATATTTCTTGCTTATGAGTCCCTCTTGTCCCTATAATTTCTGAGAAAGATAGCTGTGATAATAAATTTGTAAGAAAAAGTTGCTGATTTTATTCCAGAAGTAGTTGTATCATAAAAAAATCTGCATGTAGTCATTCTATATAGGGTTTGGGTTTTTTGTTTTGTTTTCACAACATAGGTAAAGATCACAGTAGAACTTCTAGGACACCACATAATTTTCCAGATGGCTATTTTGAGGCTGTTTAGAGCCATGGAATACAATTGGGAGGCTGTAGTTCACAGAGGGAAAAATGAATTGTGCACTGTCTGTAACCCATATTTCTTTTACGTTATCTTTTATATCAAACAATACATGTAGTCTGTTTGTCTTAGGGATACTGTTAAAGGGTGATAATATGCAATCATCGATTCTGGTGTTGATCTTACAGAGAAATAATTTCTTTAAATGTAGATAAATGTTACTTGCACATTTGCCTAACTGCCATCTAAGTTGTCATGCCTGGTCTGACTTAATTTGTTCTGATGGTTAAAGGTTTTCAAAATAGAAAAATCCAGGTGTTACAAAGAAACCCATGAAATTTACTTTATTGATGGAGAATATCTCTTTTCATGGATAAAGAAACCCTGTCAATGTCTGAAGCCTGTTAATAATGTTTTGTCTTACTCTATTGTTTGTCTTGGTTGGTCAACTTTCACAAGATTTAAGTTAGTATGTTATCTCTGCCTTAAAAAAAAAAAAAAATCATGTTATTTGTCCCTATTTCAGCCTGAGAGCAGTTTGACTAGATCCATCAAGTTGTCCTTACTTTTACTTTGCATTCTGTCTCTTCCCAAGTATGCAAAACAGGGTTTGGTAGAGTGCTATGAGCTTGTTGATAGCATGTAGTCATTCCTCAAATAGCGTAAGTGTGTGCAGTCCCAAATAGCTTTGTGTAAGATGTTCCCCATCCAGTAGAGTTAATTGCCAAAGTGTAATTTTTCAGCATCTGGTGTGGGCTATTTTGCTTGCCTGCATGGACAGATTTAACCATTGAGAAGTTTTCTCCAGCTGGTGGCAGAAATAATGAAATACTTGTAATCAGAAGGTCTCTAATAGGTTGCGGCTCCCTCTGGGGAGGGCATTGCTAAGTTTTTCACAGCTAGAAGCCACTCTCTGTACATCATTTCAAAGCTGAGAGAGGTGTGAGGCCTGATGTGGGGGGAGTGAAAGGAGAAATTTCTTCCTAAAGAAATTCCAGCTTCAGCGTTTTAGTCTTCAGGTCTTCTGAATATGGGGTTGTTGTAAAAGTGGTTGCATTCGTATGTAACTTTTCACTGTAGAAATAAAAAGTAAATGGCAGCCCTTGTTAAAACAAGGGCATTTTATTTTCTGAAGCTCAGCAAGTCAGGAAATAGAAAAAGAAAACCACAAATTCACTTTACAACTTCAGCTTTTTCCTTTAATGTTTACATTTTGTGTTTTTAAAAAAAATCCAGATTTTACAATATTGATGATAATAGCAGATACCGTTCTTTCGCTTTTTTGTACTGTGAAACATTCAAATCTATCATAGGAATGTCATAAGGGTTACTATGTTGTGTGCAACGGGCACTTTTGCTGGTGGCAGATGTAGAACCTCATTTAGATATGTATTGCTTGAGTTCAAGAAGAGGTTGTTTCAGTTTAAGCAGAAAAGGTATGTTTAAGCAGGTGTGTTTAGTTTAAGCAGAGAGTGGTACATATTTGGCAAATCTGATTCCATGTAATGCATAAACGTGCTACCTGTAAATGCTGCCTTGTTATCACAATGCATAAAAGTGCTCACTCACTAAAATTTTTCTTCAGTCCTCCGCCAGGACTCCATCTGTAACAATTTTGCATTAGATTTTATTTTGTCAACATTGTTTTCTGGTATAAAGAAATATTAATGTATTTCAAAAATGTGGAGACACCATTTTAAGGGTTACTTATTAATCAGAACAAAAGCAGGCAATGACACTAGGTTGTTTTGGTTTGTTTTAAGGAAAAACATATTTATCCACAACAGCTGCTTGGAGGGAGGCATCATAATAAATATTACATCCATACAAAGAGTTCCATGCATCATTTTCTGGACAATCTGTGTGATAGGGTAGTTGTTATAGCAACAGTGAAATAAATATCAGTCTTTTTTTTTTTTTTTTTTTTTGTAAGGTTGCATCAAAGCTGCAGTCTATTCTTCTATGTTTCTCTGCACGTGAACTTCTGTAGCATTTCTCCTAAAGCATTAAAATCACACATGTTCAATATGTTTTTTTTTAACCTGAGATGCAATTGTTCCAATTTATGTTTGTATTCACCCCCACCCCCCACCCTGCAAAGGTTAGCTTATCAGGAGCTACATGTCTGTGGCTGCTGTCTTCAGAGCATGTAGTACAGTCTGTTCACTGATTTCAGAGAAGTCTTTCACCTGACCTGCTTCTCTGTTGAGGTGCTGACTGTATGTGTTCAGAATACTGTTCTTTATTTGCGGCATGCTGTATTGGATCCAAGTCATGAGAAACTGTCCTAATAACTTACATTATTGACCCACAACATATAAATGACATTGACTCTAGTTTCTTTTTTTCCTTCCCTTCTTTGCCTTTTTTTGGTCAAGAGACCAAAGCAATTTGGTATATTATTTGGCACCATCTTTGGTGCAAATACAGTTTTAATCAAGGAGGGAAACAGAAGTTTTCTCTAAATGTGCCTGCCATTGTTTAAAAAAGATTATACTTCTTCTAAACTGACTTTGGTAACAGCCATGTTTTGTGCCTGCTGTATGGTAAATTACTTTAACAATGTGTAAACATTTTGTCTTAGGGTCTAAAGGAATTTTAAAATTTCTTCTGGAAAGGAACAAAGCATGTAAATGAGTTTATACACATGCTTCCATTTTGAATATTGCTATACAGACCTGCACTGCATGTGAGTTTGCACACGGGTTATTTCATTCTCTATCATGAACAGAAAGCACAATTATTTCTTTAATTAGATTGAAGGGCTGCTGCTTCATTCCTTATTAATTTATCAGTTTCCCCACCCAGGCTCACATTTCTTTCTGACTAAATTTCTCATGCCAGGTAGTTGTCACTGATGCTGGAACTGGTGAAGAGATAAATAAGACAGCATGTTTTTAAAATTATTTCAAGCAGGTTTGCAGATATCAGACGTGCTTAGAAAGAAATGCTCAAACCTTAAAATTCAAGTGTATGTTTGAGGTGCTAGTTGATCCATCTTCAAAAATCAAGAATGTCACCCCAGTGGTGTTCCTGTTGCCTATTGTCAGGTTGGTTTGTATTTTATGATACCAGCCAGCCCAGTCTTAACTTTTATTAACCTAGTTCTACATCGCCCTGTTGTAGATATATCAGATCTGATGTTATACCTACTGTCTGGCAATTATCCAGGGAGCATTAGACAAAAATATGTTAAAAGCATGACATGGCTTTTTAATGCACAAGAAATAGGGCCTCATTTCATGAGCCGTGTTAAACCAATAGTGTAAAATTAAAAGAGCGTGCAGTAGAGGGAGGGATTAGATTTTGTCAGAACTTCTTAAAATGTGTTCAGAATGATGCAGTGTATGGGGCAATGTTTGAAGCAAATAATACATACAGCAAAGTAAGTAAAGAGAAGTGGTCCCCAGGGTTTTCTTTGCATTCCTTCATTTAGTGATCTTATCTTTCTGTCTGGTTTTCATTTGTGATTCTATCTGTATTTCTTCTCAAATTAGGATATTTGATTTCTTTATCATAAGATGCCTTCTTTAGTACAGAGTTACTTAGGGCTTCCCACTGTGTGTGTGTCTGCTTTGTTTTCCAGGAAGCCATTGTATGGATTGTTTCAATATAATTCCAGTATGATTGGACTAGAATCATTAGCTGATCCCTCAGATACCTGGGAGATTATAGAGACTATTGGGAAAGGCACTTACGGTAAAGTCTATAAGGTTGCTAATAAGAAGGATGGGAGTCTGGCAGCAGTAAAGATTCTGGATCCTGTCAGTGTAAGTAAACTGTAACTTCATTTGTTAATTTAAAGGAATTCTCAAACAGACTTGAAATGTAAATCAAATGTGTAAGATATTGAAAGCATCCTGAAGGGAACAATTTTGCAGAATGCATTGACAGAAGGAGTTTGGTACCAGCACCTGAAAGCTGCAACTTACAATTTCATCATCTTGTATGTTATTTGAAGACAGCATTTGCCTAGTTTCTTCCTTAGGTCTATGTAATTCTTCTGGTACAAATTTAGATATCTGTGCTTGGAGCATGCAAATGATAAGAAGGCACAGAGGCATTCCTCTTAGGGGCCTTCTATAGCAGGGAAAATACAAGATGCTGTTAATCTTCATGTTCTTATTTTATTCTGTGTACTCCCTAAAAGAATTACTTTTCCCATCACAGAAGTACTGTGAACTTTAGGATATTTTATAGTTATCTTTTATAAGTGGATAATACTGCAAGGCAATCGTTAAGATAAAAACAGAAGAGCACAACCCAAATTCTCAGAGGTAGTTCTGTGCCAGCTCCAGTTTTAGTGGGTATTAAATGCCTAGCGTCCCTTGAGAATCAAGGCCCTAGTTTTCAATGGAAGATTTAATTGGCAGCTGCTCAGGTTGGATCAAGCTGGAGTTTGATCATGACAGCTGGGCTAAAATATTTACTAAAAAATGTTACGTTTCTGTCATCTACCACTACTGAAATTCATCTTGGTTTTCTCTTGTATAAATCTGAAGAAGGTAATAAATAAGATGATATCCTTTTTAGCAAAATGCAAAAAAGCGAAAATGCATGTAAGAGCTTAAATTTTCTAATAGTCACAGTCTGTGCAGAAACAAGGAAAGATTCAGTGCTTAAGTACTGTTCTGAGTTGCGGCCTATGTGCTGATATTAAACAGCCACAGAATTTTTTAAATTGTCACAGAATTCTTTCATTAACAAATATTTAGTAACATTTGCTTATTTCATGGGTTTTGTTTTGTCTCTCTTTAATTGTTTCTGGTATGTCTTTTCCTCATAAGAATGTCTCTGTTTTTAATGATGTCCCCTTTGAGGTTTTGTGAAATTGTTCTCTGTTTGGTCCAATCTGATGACCACCGAAAAAAGCATGAAGCAAAGGTTCGTGTATTTACATTTAGCTTATACATTAAAAATATGCATGTTTAAAAACAGAAAATAGAAAATAATACATGTGTAAATTTCTTATTTAGACAACTGAGCAAAGTTAAGTATAATTTTTACTTTTCTGGATAAGTATATTATGCACTGAAGGAATCCTTGAAGAACAACTGCTTGCTTTACAGACTTCACGTTTTTGTATGTAAAAAAAGCAAAAGTGGCATGATTTGATGTGGATTAAATTTACTGTATTGTGTGAGTACTTTCAGCTGCATTAAAGTAAAATCATTTAAAAGTACAAACTAATTTAAAAATGGTTCTTTTTATCCATGAGAGTTTGTTTTTGCTTTGTATGGACTTACTGTGTTTATATGTTCTGTGTGTTTGTGTTTTTTATTTAGGATGTAGATGAAGAAATTGAAGCAGAATATAATATTTTGCAGTTTCTTCCCAATCATCCTAATGTTGTTAGATTTTATGGGATGTTTTACAAAGCAGATCAATATGTGGGAGGACAGCTCTGGCTAGTACTTGAGGTAAAAACATTTGGATAACACTAAATCTTAACTCGCAAATGTTGTTGCGTTTCTGTTTTTTATTGCTAGAAGAGTCACAGGCTTTCATGATTCTCTGGCTGGGGCATTAATCAAAGGCCTGGTGATAGATGAGTGTGGTAGCCTACTGTTGAAACATCCAAACTTAAAGTTTGTTTAATAGGAAATGTCCTTGCATTTTATTTCTGATCAAGTTGGTACATTCTGCCTCCAAAACAAGCAAATCCTTTTGGTAAGAATGGTTTGTCTAAAAACACCTTGATTTTTTTCATGTTGGAGGAAACATGATAAGACATTTCCCTAAACTTATGGAGAGCTCAAGCAGTTGAGGGGAATGCAAAAGATGATGATGAAGTAACATGGAGGACAGTTAACAAACATGTTGCCTATTGCAAAAGTGAACCGAGAAAATGTAATGGGAAAGTCTGTTTTATGGTAATTTAATACTAGAGGCTGGTTGTTGTTGAAAACCTAGCAACAGAAATGCCTTCTATTAACTCTTCTTGTTCAGTGACAATCAGTATTCTTGCAATGAAAAATGTATTTGAGTGGTCTTGTTGCCAATTAAGTGTCTGCCGAAGATTGTTGCAAAGATGAGGATTTCTTCTAGATGTTTTCTAGGCTTAATTGATACAGAGCTTTGCACAGACTGATGAGCAGTAACAGACCATTCAAACATTTCTCTCTCTTATAACTAGACCAGTAAAAGTTAGCATTCACTTTTTAATTACGGATCATTTTAGAAATTGCACTCCCTGTTCTTGAATGGTGACTGGAATCAGAATAGGGAATCTTTATTTCCACTTCAAGTTGTGGAATCCCAACAATACATCTAACTTCTGTGTACTGCAGAATTACACAGCTTAAATGAAAACTTTTGGATGTGTTTCATCTTAAATTTCAGTAACAATTAAAAAAGGAGCTTCAGTATTTTTGTTTTGGTGGTGTTTTTTACTGTATGCCTGCTGGCTTTGTGTTGAGTTTGGGCTTGGTTTCCCATGTGTTTTCTTTTTTAATACAAGTGTAGTGTATCCGACAGATGCATCACATGGGGTATTCCATATAGCAAAATTTTGTAAAGCAAAATCGTGACATATTCTATGTAACAAAATTGAATGTAGAATTTGGGAGAGTTAGGTGTTTGTACAGACCTTATCAATTAAGTCTGTTCATTTCAGGTGTGTTTTGGTGCACATTATCCAAACTTTTAAAGAAATTTGACTTTAAAAAAATTGTGTTTTCCTTATACGGATAAATTTACCAGACAAGGCAAACTATTTCTTGCCTTGGAATTTACATGCAAATTTATGTATGCATAGCAGTCACTTTTATATTACAAATTAATGACACTTTTTCGGTAAAAGGGAATATACAAAGTCCTCAGACTTTGATCCCCGAGTCTTTGATGAAATATATTCATTGGATATGTGACTTCAAAATTTGTAATAAAAAGGTGGATTTTTTTTTTCCTGTAGGCACAATTTTGCCATATTTACTCACTACAAGCAGGACCTTACTTTGATAAATGCCTAGGATGAGGAAGGGTAGCAAAAATGGACACCTTAAATATTTTTATGATGGTGCAATTCTCGGATAGGTGTAGCACAGACATCTGTAAAGCAAGCTTCCCTACTCTTCCATCTAAATGTGCATCAGCCCACTTTTTAAAGTATTACCATTAGGAATAAAATGGTAATGAAGTTTGCAAGTTCATTTTGTGCCAGATCTTTGCTGACTGTCAAGAACAGCGTCACTGGCAGCTGCATAGTGTTTGTGGGGATATATTTATTTTCAGAGTCAGTCATTCATTTAACATATGCTACCAAACAGCTGCCAGTCTGTATCATTTTTCAGTCACAACCAGCTTGGGTTTTTTTTTGAAGTGAGGGCATATGTTTCTATGTTTTATTTGCAGGCCAGAGATAAGTTTAGCACAGCCTGCCTCAATAGAACATTTAGTGCAATGAAAGCAATAAACAAAAATCTTTGATTTAATGGTTTGTCAGCAGAGGGTTAAGCATGGAAAGAAAAACATGCACTTTCTCTTGCAAGATGATGAAGTTCTCCTGTAAATACATTTGATGATTGATATTGAGCTGAATGCTCCCACCTAATTGATTTAAAAAAAAAAAAAAAAAATTCTACTAATGAATTAAAAGGTAAAGTCAAATTCCTGCAGAACTCATCAATTTTCAGTGATGAAATTTTACTTCAGGAACTTATTTACATAAAGGATGTCTTGTTTATCATGTGATCTGGTCCTTTCCATGGACTTTAGTTTTCACTTTTAGTCTAGTGAAATTTTTTGATGCAAGGGGAAGTTAGTAATAAATGAAGGAAAATATCGACATATCACAGAAATTAATGATTGAACTGATACACAATTCGTAAAAGCTATTTGAGAGATGCAAAACTTGAGGGTTTGTAGAACTCCTGTTTTCATACCATTCTCCTGATTTATGCTGTAGTATTTTAAACTAATACTGATAACGTAAAATTAACTTCTGTTGAAATGCATGTGATTTCTGTATGGCAGAAACGTTGGTAAGGCTGCTGGCTACAAAAACAGGTCTAGAGGAGAAAATTCAATGAAAGGAAGGCAATCAATTCTCCCATCTTTTTTTTGTCAAACAACTGTGAATATTAAAGTAAGAAAAGGACAGAGAAAGAGGAGAAAGGAAAGAGGCGAATAGCTGCTTAGAAGGGCATGGACAGTAAACTAATGGTGTGAGTGAAAACGTATTTACAAAGATTCTAATTTTGCTTTTTCTCCTCCTCTTTTGATGTATGGCAGCCCATTAGTGGGAAATGCTTGCAAGAAGCTGCTTTTCTGGATCAGGATGTTTCATCTCAGTTGTTGGCAGCACATGCCATCAAATCTGAGTATAGAGATATGGCTTCTGTCTACTTTATATTGCCTGCCAGCAGGAGCATTGATGGAGTGAAAGTTTAAAATGACTGTAATTTGTTGCCTCCCAGTTATCAAGAGCATCAATCTTTTCTGTCTGGCCTTTTCTTTGCACAAAAGCAGTTTTTCAAAAAGACAATGCACGTATTATGGTGAAAATACTCAAATAATGTAAATTGGACTTATAAATGTTCTTTTAAAAACAAAATACAGTCCTGTTCATAATATTTTTATTTTTAGTTACATTTTATAAATTACACTTTATAATCTTTGGTTTTCACTTCCCTCCCCCCACCCAGGCTGCTGTGATTTATTATTAACATTGCTAATAAAATATGTTCTAAGGTGGGGTGACAATATAAATAATTGCAAGGTAAAAATCCAGTTGTTCCCAGACTTGTGTTGTAGTGCACTTTTGCACGGTAGGTATTTACAGCCTAAACAAGCATATTGGGTAACTGAGGACTTGTCTTGCTTTTTTCTCCCCTCTCAACTCTCCCCTTCACAGCTGTGCAATGGAGGTTCTGTCACAGAGCTTGTCAAAGGCCTGCTGAAGTGTGGCCGATGGTTGGATGAAGCTATAATCTCATACATCTTGTATGGTGCTCTCTTGGTAAGGATGTTCATCGGGCTTGTAATGACAGCAGAGGGTGCAATTTACTCATCTCATACATACATTTTCCATTTATAAAGTATGGTAATGTTGACAATATTATGCAGGCTATTATAGCAGCAGGGGTTGTATCAAGCATGTAATCCAGTGGACAGATGTTTCTATAGAGTATGTGCAGATTGTCTTCATTACATTCCCTAATAGTAGGGTAATTGTTTTTAAATAAGGGAGTAAACTTATTTTTGTTACTGCTGGTATATAGGGCCTTCAGCATTTACACAATAACCGGATCATTCATCGTGATGTGAAAGGGAACAACATTCTCCTGACGACAGAAGGTGGAGTCAAGCTCGTTGACTTTGGTAATGACCACTTCCCATTTGTTTTCCTGATACATGCAGTTTAGCCAAAGGCATCTGTTTACTTTCCCCTGGGAAGGCAGAATGCCATAGTGAGAGACTTTTTCAGAAGGATACTCAGAATTACTTTAAGAAGGAGAATGGAGAAGGAACCTGATACAGCAAGAATAAAAATTCTAACAAAACATCAGTAATAGGCTTTTAACTTAAAAGCTTAAACATGATAATTAAAAATAGTTCTGAAGGTACCATTTTATTTACAAAGCTCTTCTGCATTTCACAAGGGATGTTTCAGGGCAGTTGTCCTCCTAATTTAAATTTAGATATTCTATCTTTTGCATATGAAAAGGAAACATTCTTCTCTCTGAAATGGATTTTGCTAGCCTTAAGCATATTTTTTCCCTCTGAGCAGAAGGTAAAATGGTCCCTTGAGTCCAAAACCCAACATCCATTTAATTTGTGATTATTGCTGTTAGATTTGAGCATTGCATAAGAAACAGGAGAGAGAGAGAGAGACAGAGAGACAAGCAGATAGATAGGTAGATAGAAAGGGACTTGGCAATAAAATTTAACTCAGTTCAGCAATTTTTTTCCCTCTAAACATGCACTTAGAAACATAAGGAAGTGCTGTAGTCCCTCAGATATGTATACAATGGAATGGACAATTTTATTAAAGGTAACAGAAACAGATTATTAATAATATGATTTATTAATGAAACCATATAATGCATAAGGTAATCATCGAGAATAGTGTTGTGTGAATAACAGATATTTGTTTAGCAGTGCATGAAGGTAAAGAAAAATGTTCACAAAATGAGAGTAGTGTAAAATGGTGTGCCAAAAAATTCTGCAAATAGGAATATTTTTTTAAAAATCCAAAAATATTAAATTTATGCAGTGGAAAGAAAATTTAATACTGATGTTGTCATGGTATTATAAATTTAACATAAAAGTCTATTGAAGATGCTAAAGTAAGTTGGGAAACAGGAGACTTCAGTATCTTCTAGGGACAGAAATTCATTATGTTGAATGGTAAAGGTAACAATTAAAATAGTGCTGGGAGAAACATGGCCTGAAACAAAACTTGGAGTGAGTTCCTGACCTAGTACAAGGGAGGAAGATCCCTTCTCATTTGGGGGAATTTTGGCAGTATGATCTTTGTAACTACTCCATTCTGGGAAAAGTTGGCTTTTCTCCCCAAAGCACAACGTTTTTATCAGATGTACCAAAGGCCTTAGCTGAGCAGAAGCTCAGCTTGGAGCTCTGGCTTCCAAAGGTAGATCAGTGTGCTGCAACTCCAAGTGGCACATTCAAGGAAACTGAGAATCCCAACCTTTCTGGTGTCCCATGGGTCTCGCTGATTCCACATTTAGGCTTTAGGGTTTTTTTTTCTACTTTTTAAGTTACAACAGTAACACCAGGAAATTACAATGAATATGACTACCTCAGAAAAAGACGTAAGTTAAATCTTGAGTGTCTCCTAACACTTAATGGTTAGGAAGTGCCAAGAAATCCCCACATATCTGCGGACTTCCTGACTAAAGAAGCATCAGACACCAAGCTTTCATTTAGTTGCTATTTTTCACCTCCAGCCCACTGCCATAGTCACAGAAGGGACTCTGGGAACAAATTAGGACTGAGTCACAGGTGATACTGTTTGTAGAACTGTTTGTCTCATTTGTTGCAGAAAGTGGAAGATACATAGTGAAAAATGCAAGGAGTTCAGGAAGAGAAGGGACTTGCAGTTCAGACAGTTGAATGGCATCAAACTGGAGACTATTCTTGCTTCTGCCAGTGTTTTTCTGTGATGTTGGCAGGTCACTTGCATCAAACTTTTTAGAAGTGGCCACTGTGTTCCTCATTTTCCCGATAGCCAGTTTGAAACATCTTGTCCTCCTTTGCAGAATAGCTAAGTGTTCTTGAACTGCAGCTGAGATCTATTACAGCTCTACTCGAGGCGTATGGAGTGCCTGAAAACTGAAAGATCTCAGATTAAGTATCCAAAAACAGTGGATGCTTTGGATATTTTTAGGTTAATCCCTGGAACCAATAATCCTCTCCCATTTTGCAGGAATGTTAAGTAGATTCATTGTTTGATGAGGAGGGAAGGAAACATGTCAAAAGGAAAAGAAAATAATAATTTTAAATTTAGTATAGGATTGGAAATACTAAATAAATAGCTAGAACTCAAATCAATGGGAATAAAAAAAAAATTAAATGACTACCTATTCAGAGAACGCTATGCATTCCGTCCTCAGAATGAGACAGAATGTTGAAGAAAAAAAGTTACTTCATATTTAAGGCTGTACATATGGATATTAGGTCACAGAGAGGATTAAACAGATATCCATAAATTAAGGCTTTTTTTTTTTGCCTTTATTGCATGACTTTACAATTTGCTTTTTCAATGTACACACATTTCTTCCCTCAACTGCTCTCGACAGCATGATGTATTTGAATAAATGTTGGTCACGGTGTAAGTCGACCCAAAATGTCTGCAACTTATCATTCATTTATGCTCATGCTTGCTCACTCTCTCCCGCTGTCTCCCTCTCTCAGCTCTTTGGTATTCTGCACTGTTTTGGAGTGTCTGTAGATAGCAGCTACAAATTAAACTAGCTGAAGAGAGATCAGAGTTAAATGCACAGACACTTGCTGTAAGTCCTAGCCATTAACTGTTTCACAGTGGTACTCAGGAAATCACTGAATGAAAAATAAATAAAGCATTGAATCTTGGAGTCAGCAATCAAATTATTTAACTTACAAATTATGAGTCCCAATTTCTTATTTATTGGCATCAGGCAATGCTTATTAAATGTGTTTCTGCCCGTTTTTGTCTCTGGTAATGCCGTAGGAGCCGACCACTGTGGTTTTTGTTTTTAAACAATGTTAAGGTGAAATATGTTTTTAAGTCAAAATTTGTTTTGTGTCAACTTACTGGAATGCTCCTGAACTCTACAATTCAATTATATGTTGACCAGACCACAGAAGAAGATTTGCTGTGAAAGTTCATTCCGATTTGTTAACATTGTTTGATTTCACTCTAGTTCGTTCTTCCTTTTTTCAGCCGTGCTTCAGTAGTACAGGCCCAGTCAACAAAGCACTGAAGCACAGGCTTTGTTTTAAGCATGTGCTTAACTCCGTAAGTACAAGCCACAGTGTGAGCTTGAGCTTCTGTGCTTTTCTCAACAGGAAAAGATTTAAGCAAGTGCATAAATGTTTTGTTGAACAGGAGCCTCTGCAACTACTCTAGTGAACAAGTTTCCTGCCAGCAGTGTTCAGGGAGTAAATTTCTGAAACAGTTTTAAAATCAAGTCGTAATTTGAATAGTTCCTGTTTATACTGATGAAAACAGCAGAAAGAAGTCTGTGATATTTAGGTGCCAATTGAATTTCTGAGTTTGAATGAAAGTACTTCAAACTGAGAGTCATTCACAAAAAATCTCTCAGCAATTCTGAATGAAAACAGCAAGCTGAAATTAATCAAACAAAGAACGCGGTACAAATGCTGCACCTACTTTAGCCAGGCGTTCTGCAACTGTACTCCCAGGTTTGGGGTTTGTTTTCCACATACTTGAAATAAATTGACTGAAATGACAGAATGAATTTGAAGCCAAGTTTTTTGGATCTGTTTTATTGCAGGTGTTTCAGCCCAGCTCACCAGCACACGGCTGCGTAGGAACACCTCAGTGGGAACACCCTTTTGGATGGCACCTGAGGTAGGCAAACATTCCTATCTGGGTTGTCTCCATTCATTGCAATGCACGCTTTGTTGCCACTTCCACATAGTAGAAGAAAAGGGTATCTTTTCTTCCCTCCCCTATGGCTGTGTTTCTACTTTACTTTACTTTTTCTACTTTACTTTTTTTTTTCTACTTTACTTTTTTCATCTAGGCCAGTAAAATGAATGTAGTATTAGAATATACAAAATGGATTTCTAGAAATTTTCATTATTTTCTTCTCTGTAATGTTTCCATAAAAGTACAGATAATCTGCAAATAACTGAGGGTGTCCTTGAAAATTTTATGACTTTCCAGTCAAATACCATATGTTTTGGTGTGCTTGTCTGTGCCTTTAAATACAGTCTGGGAGGAGAAGGAGGAATGCCCACATTCCTGTCTTGCTATAAGGACTCTGCAAAACCCTGACTCAGCTATGTGTTCTTTAACCTTAATCATTGACTGGGGACCTACGCACTTAGACACATGGACTAGCATAGATTAAAAACGGAGAAAAATAATCTACAGGCGGCTTAGCCAAGTATCTTAGACCATATTTTTACATGCTACTGCCCAGATGTAACCCTTTTCCTTCTATTTCATGAAGCTCTAGAAAGTTTTAACACACTATTGAACGAAAGACCCTTATGTACTTTCCCTAAATTTGGGGTGAAAGATGTTAATCTTTGCCCTCCCCTCTTTAAGAAACAAAAAATACTTTTGTAAGGTATAGATTATGAAATTAAAACATAGGGAATGAAAAGGGAGTGGTCTGTTTATTTCTAAGTTGTTAAACCTTCATAACAAACCTTCATTTCTGTTGAATGCCATTAGACTTATTTGAATTTTGGGGAATTTGGGATGGAATTTGCATCTGTTACAAATGCACACAGGTCTATTTCTGTGTGTCAAACAGTTAAAAGTATCGTGCAAACACTTATTTTAAAACATTTTATACTTTTTATACATCTATTTCTGTTGCTAAGGAAGGCTGATTATAGCTCAGCAGAGAAAAGAAGATGCTGTAACGGATTCAAAATTGATCTTGCACAGTCTCACAAAGAATGGTTGAAATTTTACCATCTCCATAACAACCAGTTTACGTCACAAAGGAGACACAAGATACCTTAGAAACCACTGTGCAAGCATTATTTATGGAATCACCTTAGTTGCAGACATTCTGAAGCCTTTATAAAATACTCCTCTGGACAATAATGGACATATTGTGAAATATTTTATTGAACTCGGATTATTAGAAGTTATTTTTACGGTACTGTTTTGCTTGAATAATTGCCATCAAAGGCAGTAATCATACCAAATTTATTTTCCCATCCTGCTTGAAAATATTCATTCTCAATGTAAAAAGCCAAAGAAATAAGCAGAGCTTTTGGTCTGAAAAATTTTGGCCTGAAAATACAACGCATGTATAACCAAGGTATGTTATGTGCATAGCACATCAAAACAGGAACAGAAGTAGCTTTGAATGCTTCCTGTTTTGAAAAGATTTGTCAAAATAACCAACCCAGTACCATAAGCATAGTAACTCATACCACATTTGCATGCCTGTGTGAGCCACGCCAATCAGGCTTCATAGATGTACTAATCTGCAAAACAGCTGTAAGATGCTCAGATATCTATTATGCTGTTGTTGAAATGGCTTTTAAATTACAAGTTGCATAACACTTGTGCTGAAGTCACTACAGTTGCTTTCTTTGTGTTCATATGAATGACATATTTCAACCGACTTGCGAGGTGCAATTTACCTTACTTCTGGGGAGATCTTTCTGGTATTTTTAAAATGCGCAGCCAAATTTTTATGTGAAAGATGAAAGACTAGGACTGCAATAAGCTGAAAAACTCTGCTTGGGTAACAGCTTATTAGGAACAGTGTTTTCTAGATGAGACTATGGTGAGATCAGTAAAAACTAGAAAAGCACTTAACAGTTGCAAAAATCTTGCTCTCTAAAAGTTTTGACATAGGATAGAATCTATGTCAAACCCCAGAATACCATAAAATAACTGGACAGGAAGGAAATGTTACTAATCAGAGAAATAGAAAGCATGAAGACTAGGAATTTTTTTTTTTTTTTTGTAAATTGGACTTTTACTATCTGTGTGTGAAACATAGTAGCCTAGTCAATGCATAAGGCAATCATGGGACCTCATTTTATCTACGGGTGAGAAAGATGGATTTAATCTGAAGGGGGAGTGGAGAGGGGAGATGAAAAAGCTTGCCTTGGAGAAAGAGACTACAGGAGTGTTTCAGAGAAACGAACCTTGTGAAATGAATCTAACGGGGAATATTTTCCAAGGTAAACGCCAGGAAAATAAAACCTGGAGAAGAAGGACGCACGGTTATTCAAGCTGACAGATAGGAATAACTGGATATAAGCAGGAGACAAATATGCTGGAAACTAGAATCACTAGATCAGCCTGGATCAGGAACAATCTAAAATGACGAAAACCATCGTATTTTAAGATGAAGTTTGCAAAATGTCTCAAAGGGATTATATGGCATGGTACTTGCAATAGCAAAAGTTCATAGGAAAATAGCAGTGACTGAGGGTGGCGTAAGGTATTTTGTTCAGCTCAGTGTTCTTACTGGCAGCAAGAAAAGCCGCAGCTTAACAGTTTTGAGTGACTCCGTTTTAGAGGGCTCTTTTTTTCTGATAAGGCTTGTTTAGCAGCAACAGGACAAATCAAAAAGATTTGTCCTTGAGCATTTGTTTTGAGCAGAGCATGTGATCAACAAAAATTTTGCTGAAAAATGAAAATACAGGGAAAAACTAGGCTGTGTGGAAGCAACAGAGGAATTTGGCAAGGATGAGTCAGTTTGAGAGCAGCTTTAAAGTAGACTCACTGAAAATCAATCCTTGCTGTTTAACCTAATTAGTGTCGTCTCACACTTACAAACAGACATGCAGAAACTGGAACACTGAATACAGGCATGCCAAAAAAAGATAAATAAGGCAGGATAGTTTAAGTATGGTGGATGTTTAAAGCTGCCTGTTGCCAAACACTTAAGTTACCTAAAATCTGCTTCTATTATGCTGAAATAAATTGTGTTGAATGCTAGCAGGAGGAATCAGATTTGAAACTTTTGAACTGAACTGCCTTTACATCTCTAGTTCTAAACATGTCTTGTTTTCAACCTCCAGCGCAGAACTGAACAAAATCTAGTTCAAATGGAATTGCAGTTTTCCTTTTTCCCAAATATAATTATATTATCGTGATCTAGCTGGAAACTTGACTCTTGAAACAAACTCAGTTAGAATCTGTACATGTTTTCTTTGGCCCAAATCTAGTTTTAAGAACAGAAATAGAAAAAGGAAAAGACATTTGAAGTCAGAAAGAACTGGAGAGATGGTGAAGGTAGTTTAAAACCACAGGGAGTATGCTGTTATATTTTACTGATAACTGCTAAAAAATGACAATGGTGCATGCATACTTACGTTTTAAAAGGAACAGAATTAGAACATAGTTGATCCTTTGAAGAATTATGTGTTGAAATATGACACATGACAGTAGGAAAGGCTGATACATTGGTAAAGGTATCATATGAGTTCTGTAATAATGAGTTAACCAGAGGTAAAATCTTGCCTCTGTTTTGCTATTGATTTCAGAGGGATTTCAGATGTCACACTATTATTTAAAGCTGTGTCAACTCTGTATTTTGGATATTTGTTACCATCCTGCCAAGATGAAGTAACGATAAGTAAGACTGCCCCAGAGACAATAGACTGTTTTCCTTCCCCCTGCTGAATCAAGGCATATTTCCTGGGATAAAATTCAGTACATCTGAACATCAGAATAAATTTCTGAAGTGTTAGAACAATAGGTGACTAGTTTAAATTGTCTTTCTTTTTCCAATGTTGCTTCGTATTTTTTTAAACTTTAAATCTGATCATATATGTGTGCAATAAGTCTAATCCTGAAACAATGAATAATATTGCATTGTTTCAATATGAAGCTGTGTCTCTGCATAATCTAAATAAAAATCAACCAAACTGGTAAAAAAAGCACCCCAAAAAGTCATTTGCATTAATGTAGTTGAAAAATACATAAAGGGAAAAATTGGTAGATTAGGGCTGACTTCTCTTATTTACCTGTCTATTGTAGGAGACATGAAAAATTTACAAAAAAAATCCATTTTATAGTAAATACATTTCATGTGTAGTTAAATACTGAGTTGGAAAAACAGCATAGAAAAGATAACCCCATCACTAACCTGGGCTTATTTAATTATTTTTATTTTTTATTTTTATTTATTTTTATTTATTTATTTAT